ATCACGTTATTGACCAGACAGTCAGTTATTTGAAATAACGTGCAACAATTGAAAAGAAAATCAATTTTTAAGAAGGAAGCGTTCAAAAGGAGGTACCGTCGAATGACAACTCCGGCTCCGAAATAACAAACTCTTTAAATATTTCACTCGTGGCATGATTACGTAACCAACATACAGTCGAGCCACCTCTCCGGCGATCCTCAGCGACCAGTTTTCCAAAATACCAAAAGTTTCCAAGTCAAATCACTATATTTGGAACCTCTTTTAGGCGACCACTTCTAGAGCTGAAAGTTTGAAATTTTCTTTTGTTTTTAACCTCCCGTAAACGACCTCTTGAGAGATAACAGAGCGGAATTTGGATTATAAGGTTTTGTGACATTATCGTATCTCATGGTAGTACAAGAGACGGAAATTTCTCAATGAGAAGTACCGAAGATTTTCTTGAAATTGACTTTTCATATGAATAAAACATTTAAAACATGGGGTAAGTATCTGCAGTTACCTTATGCTAATGAGGCAAAATTTTGACCCAATATGGTCAATATGGTCTGAGCTCTCGTAAGCGACCATCTCCCGTAAGCGACCAACTGTGCTGACGGAAAATATAGCAGATTACGTAATCTTCAAGAAATATTAAAATTAACGTTATTCGACGTTTCAACGCATCGAGCATCATTATCTAGAGTGAAAGAGCCGAGGTTTGAATATCATTAGATGGCTTTCACGTGTGCGTGATAATGCAAACACGCTAATAGAAAAGCTTCGCGCGAGTTGAGTCCGATTGCACGTTTAGTGATGATCTGAGCTCTTGTACAAACAAGAAATACAGTTACAGTGAAAAAATATTTTTACAGAGAGCAAATGTCTTGATTAAAAAAAATAGCATTTACGAGTAGACGACAAAAAAAGTGCAAACATCTCAATAACACCGTACTCGCACTGCACTCACCCAGTCCTTCGTGCCCGGCCGCGCTATGGAAACATGATTCCTTAGCAGCCTAGATCTGAAGCGAAAAACAAACAAAAAATAAAGGCAAACACTCTAGACAGGTACTTCATTGTAATCACTACTTTGTACGATTGCTATTTACTGATGGCTGATAAATGGAAATTTCAAAATAAGGTTGGGCATTTCCAGTCTTCTTATACAACTTTAAGGTGAATAAAAAAAAACTTTTAGGTGAACTATATTTTTTTACCAGTAGAAATTTGCCTCACTGGACTGGGATTTCCAACACCGGAGTGATCTAAAAATAGCTCAATTGAGAAGGATTACCTTGGGAATAAGGCCTGTAAGGGGGATCAACTCTCCTACTATTCATCCTATCTTACTGAGGTACGGTTAATAGAATTCCCTTTAACAATATTTTTTCAGATTGGTGCCTTGACTACGAGTCCAGGAAATGTGAAAAGTGGAAGGCTGGTGGACAGTGTCGATCACCGTTTCGCCGTGTGCAAGTAATGATACGGAGATTGTGCATGGAAACCTGCAACTTCTGCGGTAAGCTTTTACCCTCATTATCAAATTCAAGTTTGGATAGATGATCTAAATTAGTATATTATCACTCCTTTTTCTCCTTCGTTTCAATTTTGATTGAGAAGATAAACCAAACACTAGAGGCAGTGTTTCACCACAATTTCCAACACCTCGAAGCCCGAAAAAATACTCCACTGAGCGTCGGTTTTTCAACGCTCTTTCTCACGTTTGGAATGCGTTAAAACACAGTCTTTAGTGTGTGATATATCACCTTTCGAGTTCAAGGAGCTATGTCACGATATTTTAAGTGATTTTTCTGACATACAATTAAAAACAAAAAACGAACAAGTATGGGAATATTGGTGAGCTTAAGGAAACCGCTGTCGTCATTATACTAGGTAATTTGTTTTTATAGATTTAATTTCTTGTAAAACGGCATTGAACCATTGGGAAATGGCGCTCTATAAATTTTAATATCATTATTATTGTTATTATTATTATTATTATTATTATTATTATTATTATTATTATTATTATTATTATTATTATCGTCCTCACGTAATGTTTTCTTAGAGTCCTTAGGGCCGAGACCAAACCATGGTCCTGGGGCACTAGGGGATAGCCAGTTTTTAGCTTGATAGCACCCTCCTCAAAATGTGTGATGTACCTAGCAAGGTTATCTTTTGTAGTTCACTGATGCTTAATTAGCCGGGAATTCTTCCAAGATAAGTTTCTAGTCCCTTTTTGATAGCTCCAA